AGAGAATGTACAAATAGCCTCAACTCCACCCTTAATTACTGACATATGGAAAGTCTTATTTCTGTCAGCTGATTACAGCCTTTTTCCCTTGCAGCAAGTAAGAGGCCATTGATTCAGCTCAACACCTGGCAGCCTGCCTTGCTTCTGGAGCTAAATTTCTCTGTCAGAGATTTTCAGGGGAAGACAACAGTGGCAGATCCTTCAACAGCAGCTGCTTCATTTAATGAAGGGAAGGTCTTATTGCTGGAGTCATTTGTTGCCATAGCTTCCTATGTTAAAGCCAGAGAAACCATTAGGGTATCTTTCTAACAGAGACCAAAGATTTTCATTCAATTACACCCATTCTGAGTGCAATAATTTGAGTTTAGCAAAAGCATATCTCCCCAAAAGCTATCCACATTCCATTTGAATGTGCAGGCTATTTTTCATTTCAGTTTTTGAGGTTTTGACTTTTAGCTACTGGTTCTTCATCTTCGTATTGTTGGATATTTTTTAAACCAGGAGAAGATTTAGACATTCTGATCAAGTCCCTGCTTGATATTCCATTTGATAAAGTATCTGTCGTGACCACTTGTCAAGCAAAGAGCATCCCACCTTGCATTCCTACTCTACAATTTTTGGTTCACAAGCTGGCTCTCATCTTGACATAAATAGTCAAAAAATATTTTCTGCCCTCCCTTTAAAGGTCTATAATGCCCTTTTATTCATCAGAATGAGGAGTATAAGTATGGACCACTGAGGAATAAAAATCCCTCCTTCTCTCTCAATCATTTTCCCCTCTCCCCACCAAAGAAGTCAGCAGCTTTGTTTGTTTTAAAGATGGGCAAACAGAAGCACAGAAAGGATAAAGCCTTACTCTGCATTACATATCAAACAAGGGCACACCCCTACAGCCTAAATCTCCTGGCTAAATCCAGCAATGCATTAATAACACCAGTGCTGTTACCCCTTGCTGCTGGTTGTCTTCCCTACACAAACATACTCTCAATATGTCACAGTTTCATTGTGTTAAAATGTATCAAAGATGTCCATAACTGCCATTTTTTAGGAGTTTCCTATTTGTTTTCCTATAAGGCACTTGCAGATTCACTGCAAATCTACAAAGTTCAATTTTTATTCTTTGGTTTCTTAGCAGACAAAGAAGAAAACGATGCAGGCAGAAACCCAAACCATTATTACTTCTAGTTTTCAGTGTTCTGTTTAATGCCAAAAAAAAAAAAAAAAAAAGAAAAAAAGAAACAAACCACAAAAAAAAAAAAAATTTGGACATGAAACACAAAGAGTGAGCCCTGCACCCTGTATTCTGAATACACTGATCTCCCAGACTAACAGAAGGGTAATTTCCTACCAACAAGGTATTGATCTCCACATTGCACACACAAGCATTTCCTGGATGTGTCAGATGGTGGATTTATAAAGTCTGCAAGAATTAGGAGCACAGAAGTGCATTTACTGAATTGTGTCAATACTACACATGCTTTTCAATCTCATGGTTTGTTTCAAATAAGTAACCTATATTTAATAAGTTTACTGATTTAATTACTGTGAAGTCTCAATGTAAACATGCAATAGGAAGTCAACCAGCTTGTGTTCAAGCCAGGCAAAACTGAGCCATACCACAGCTGTAACTCAACACACATCAGAGCACACATCAAACTGTGCTCTTGCTGTTCCAGAAGAAAAAAAAACATGCTGTCAAATCATCATGTTCTACAGCAGCAGTGGACAATCACAAGAAAGACCCAGTAACTATTTAGTTGTTTACTACTAACACTGTGATTTACAGAGAATAAAGTGTCCAGTTCCTTACAAGACATGATGTGAATCTGTTGGAATGATTTGACCGAGTAGTGTTAGAGCATACATGACTTAGATAAGTCATTCATAATTTACCAGCTACAAGTGGTATCTTCCTACCTACCAGTTCTCTCAAATGGATCTCATTAAATCCTGTTTCACAGTGGTCATGGACTTTTCTTCTGACACACTTGATTATAAAGGCAGGATTAGTTTTCAAACTTAGATCATAATTTGACTACTGATGCCCACATGAGTGTCAAACAGTGGCAGTAAAGATAGGATGTCTCAGCTTGAAATTCAGCATCCAGGACAACCAAAATAAGATGGAAGACTTGGTTTATCCTGCAGTAGAACTATTGCCTCCCCAGCTTTTGGAGGGACTCAGATGACATTCCCTGAGGAATCTAAAATGTGCCAAACCATTCTACTCTGGACACAACACTTGCTTAAGTGCTTCTAACCCAGGGTCTGAATTTAATGTTCAAAGTGATAACAAGGGACATGAAAACCAATTCCTCATCACAGCAGAGTAATGTGCTCTTCGTATATGTTCACTACTCAAAACTTATCTGGGAAATTAATTAGATCTTTAATGCTCTGTTTTCTTCACTGCTTTATTTGCAGGTTAAGAAGACTGTAATCATTCACAGGGAAAACTTGGACCCCCCCATAATCAAATTTTGTTACAGACTAGTATTTTTAGGATTATGAAATTATTGGGATGCACTGTGCTGTTTTCAGTGTCATTCTCCTCCTCTCTCCTGCCACTATTGACAGCAACCACATGGAGAGGCTCGTACCACAGTGCAAGATGGTCATCCCATTTCAGATTCCAGGACTTAGAACAGGATCAAAGTTGGGTGTGCATGCACATAGCTGCACAGCTATGAGGGGACTGGGGAGGCACATTCCTATATGTTCCTGTCTACCTGCCCTGTGGGCTATGAGAAAGATTAAGAAACGTTTAAAGAACTGTTTTCCCTTCTGTATTCTTGGGCCTTTCTACTGATTTCTGCAAGATTCTTTGAACTACAATCTAACTCCCCTACTTCTTCAACTGGGTTGTACCTTATGATAGCAAAGTACAACTTACACAGCTTGCTGGTCCTCGAAGAAGAGCAACAGTTTGTACTTTTGCAGGTTTCCACCAGCAGGGGAGAATGAACAGGGAACTATTCCTGTCCTAGTCACAGGGGTAGATACAAACCATCCTGTGTATTTTTCACCCACAGAAATTAATTGTCTGATCACTTTTGTGCTTGTCAGGTTTTAGTTTAGCTGGTATGCACAGGGAAGAAATCTGAATTACAGGATTCCTATTGGCATAGTAATTATTGTCAGACTTCTGTTGTCTCCGAGAGTCTCAGCTGTCTACCGAGTCTCTGCTGAGTCTCTGTCTACTCAATTTCTCAGGCATCTTTTGATTTTTGCAATATACTTAATTCAGAACTATTCCACAGGTGCAATTGCACAGTGTTTGAATATAAAACTGATTAACAAAATGTCATGCAGATACACACTTTCCGAAGTACTGCTACCATGTTCAACTATAAAAAGAAGTTTGATAAACCTTTAGCTTTGTTTCAGTAGTTGCTTTACATCAATTTAAAGCCCAATAAATGCTAAAACCACATCCAAGAATGTACACCATCAATTGATCTAAATTTACTACTTTGATTTTCCTTGCCATCTGTCAAATTATAGACTTTCATTCCATGTATATTGCCAGATAACAGTCAGTAAAAATAAAAAAATTATTTCAGAGCTGACATTGCTACCTCTAAAAGTTGAATAAATCTAAATACAAGTACATTTAAAAAAGGGACGTGAAGGAGCTTTGATTAAACTCAGAAAGAATCTAAGCATTTTCAGGAATGATTGGTAAATGGTATTATTTACATGAATAAGACATGTTCAAAATGCAACAGCAAGAGGATAACAGAAGTCTGAAAGAACCACTGTGGATAAAGTAATTGTACCTGGTAGCACTCCTGATCTGGAGTACTTGCTCCCAGTAGCAGCTGAATATTATCAGTTGTTAGTAGGCATTTTAATTTGTTTTAAATTCCCTGAGATTAACTGGACTAAAATTTAGGAGCTCAACTTACTTTTAAAAGAAAGATTGTTGGTAAGTGTTAGAAGTATAATCTCCTTAATATTAATTCTGATGCAAGAAAAATATGGGATTTATAAATGCACTAAAAGTACTGCATTTTTATAACTTACTACCTTCAGAGTTAGAGATTATGAAAAAATAGATTGAGTGCTCTCTCATATATTTTAGAACAATTTTGTTAAGTAAATTTATGCCAATAAAATTTTATTGTGTGCTTTTTATTATATTTCCCTGTCCTTTTTAAATTTGGAATACAATTTCAATTGATCTTGGTATAATACATTTTTAAATCAAAAGTAGCATAAAGGATCAGAACAATTATCTCCTTTAGCAGGTAACGTATTTGGAAACACATCAATACTGTAGAAAAAATGCATATTATTCTTTCCATCAAACATGAAAAATCTATCAGTTCCTCTAGCTCACTTATGTGCCACAAGAAACAACAATAGACTCTTGGAGTCTGTCAAATCTTAGATTAATAATAAATGAGCACCAAATGATAAACAGAACCTTTCACTGTTCTATTGCTGAAGATTACTGCAGGGTAAATACTAACAGGAAACTGAGCAATGTTAAACATATGGCTTAATGGATACATTATTTACAACATAAAAATAAATCCAGAATTCACACTAAACTAAAAAGAGTATGCAATGAACTAAAAGGCAAAAGTTAAAAAAGAATAATGTGCTTTGAAACACAAATTATATGGAAAATATTGTAAAAGTAACTAATTTTCAATATTTAGTTGCAGAAATGTCCAGAGAATTTGGAGTTGTCTTAGGCTGTACAACTAATGATTTTGATTCTTTGATACTGCTGAGGTACAGCTGTATGATAATTGGGAAGAGAAATGCTATTTGGGAAGCATAGAGGACCTAAAATTTCAGCAGAATTTTGGTGGAGAGAATGAAATTACACACATCAGAATATGTTCAGAAGAGAGTCCTTGCTATCGTCATGCTTACAGAATGACAGACCCCATTAGAATTTATCTTTTAGAAAATGAAGACAAGAAAATATCTTCTGACACCACATTTTAATATAGCCAGCTGGAGGACCATGCATTTAGGAATCTTACCTAAAGAACTCCTGAAAGCAGTAACAATAATAAGCATCTGAGTCCCAATACAAAGTTAGACCAGCCATACCTTCATCCTGTCATAAATAGGAAAGTAAGAAGAAAGAGTTATTTGAGAGATTTTTTTCCTTTGTTTGGCACATAAGTGAAACTACTAGCAATCTAATAGTAGTAACCCCTTGTATTGCCAAAAGTCTGTTGAAAACATGCCTCATCCTGAAAGTAGTTCAGTATCACTGAGTTGCCTGTTTCTTACATGTAAATCAAAATTACTTTTATAAAAAAACATATAGAAAACACTGATCAAAGAGACACCATGCTTAAAAAATAGCTGTGAGTACCTAAATTTCTTTGCCCAGTGCATTAACACCTTTTCTGAGAAATGAATATGTGATTCTAACTAGGAACTGCTCTGCTCATGGGGATTTTGATTCCTCAACCACCACGCTGATGGCACCCTATAGCACTTAGGGTAGGTTGGTATACAATTTGTCCCCCATCCAAAGAGACTGTAGTGGAGGCATTTCATTAAACACAATGTCACTTTAGTCTCTCTCTCTCTCTCTGTGACCATCTTAATGCTCTGATTTCCTATGGGGAGGTTACCTATGATTTTTGATGCCAGAGCGGGACCCCCTGTAAATAGTAAGTGCTATCAGAAACAGATTAGAGCTTGGGAAGAATTGGAAATGTACTCCTGGATTTTGCAGCAATACTAGGCAGAAGATTGTATAAACTGCCAAAAGGATTGCATTCACATTCCTGGACAGTTTCTGCTACTGGAACTTGCATTTATGGCTCTTCCTTAGAGGAAGAAGGAGAGGCAGCAGGGTAAAGTCTGCTACTGATAGATGCAAGATAAGCAAATAATCATCATTCCACAAAAGACTAGACTTGGAAATGAGAGCATTAATTAATCTACTCCTAACTCAGCTATTCCTTCTTAACACCTCTCCTGTACAAATAAAGTCTTTTCCCCATCCAGGACCAATGATTTTGGTTGGACAGGACATTAAAGATCATTTAATTCCAACCCCCCTACTATGGGTAGGGACATCTTCCACTAGACCAGGTTGCTTAGAGGCTCAAGGAAATGAAAGATCCTGGGAAAAGGAGTCACCTCTCTGAGCTTCATGGCAAAATCTTGGTTCTATAGACCAGGATTTTCTTGGGTTTACACGTAAGAAAAGTCTTATTACTCTATTTCAGAGTCCTCACAATGTCACACTGTCATTTTCTGCTATAAAGATGAGAAAAAGCCCATGTAAATGACCTCTGGAAAATAAATATATTAATAGCAACAACTCATCTTCCCTGCAAGAGCCAGGCTTAATTCCAATGTAAGGGACTATGATACAGTTTGATTTCCTAATAGCTCAGAGACCCAAGTAGGAAGAGTATCAAATAGGGATGTGTGTCTTCAGGACTATGTGTTCACCACATTAAAAAAAATTTCTATGAGTAACATTCAAAACAAAAATAACAGATAGCCCTTTTCTGATTGTTTTGCTGCCAAAACCTCAGACTATTTTATGACCAAAATTAATGATGCATGTATCTTTCAATCCAATATCATTCCTTTCTCAAATACAAACATTAACAAACAATCATAACAAGTTCATACAAAATTATTTTTTCAGTATAGAGAAAAGGCAGAGAGAATGGATATCACTAATCCATCACTATCATTTGTAATCCTTGCACAGTTAGCACTGTGCTTTCAGCCTTTGCATTCAGCTATTCTTCCATGGTTTCTACCATTTTCCCACTCTTTTTCTGCCTGGTCCTTGTGTTGCCACTTACCCCTGGACTATTGCTGGATCATCTGGCTGTACAGAATAAGGTATCAAATTCAACATGTCTAAAACCATAAAAAAAAAGGAGCACCAGGTAGTCCTTACCATTCACCTCTGGCAGGAATTCAAGCTTTGCTTTTTAAAAGCCCTCATCTTCTTAGCCCAGTGGCCACAGAAGGAACTAAAACAGCCAACAGAACACCACAAAATATATATGTGAATTTTCAAATCAGCTTGCTAAAAGGTTAAAACTAAAAATCTCACATGCTTCTCTGCTTGATCACTTTGTACCTTTTTCACTGCTGCACAGATCCAGGGCTTAGGAGAGCAGATAGAACAAAGGGTGAACCACAGCTTTTAATCACCATATTTTGGGTTTTAATTTTTCTTCTTAATGTAAAGATGGTGATACATTAGGAGGCAGTGACATAATTTAAAAAATCATACCAATTATACCAAGTTTCCATTAGTCCTATACTGAACACTCCCTTCTGCCACTTCTATTAATGCTTATTTCTATAATTCCAGGAAAAAGAATATGAAAAGCTCTGAAAGCAATGGGTTTACACACAGGTACATCTTTCTCAGCATCCAAACAAAAAAAAAAGGAAAGAGAAAAAGGCCTAAACTTTGTCACCAAGGGTGCTGCCTCCAAAACCCTTAATAGTCTCAGGGCCCCTCCACTTTCTCTCAGAGTTTTCAAGAGCAGTCTCATCTCAGGGTTATTATTGTGGATTTCACCAGCAAGAATTCACAGTATTCTCAAGAATTACTGCAAAACCTTTTATGTGAAATGCCCAAATGCCTTGCAAAAACGTATTCACTAAATTCCATTGCAGTCAGTGACATTATATTACTGAGAAACAGGCAGATTGAAATAAGGAGAAGGTAAGTGACCTTCCTAAAGTTATAGTAGAAGCCAGAGGCATATTTTACACATCCTTGCTGTTCTCTGATAAGAGCAGTATTTTTCTTACCCCACCTGCAATTTTGGTGCCCAGATTGTTCATGGTTCAATGAACATCCAAATTACCAGAGTACTAAAGAAAAAATGGCCTGAGATACTGTTTAAGTCCATCACAGGAAACCTGTTCAGACTAACACCAGTCCAGTCATAAAAAATTGCTCATGACAGCCTGGTACTAGTAGAAAGACTGATATTCAATGCCAGTTATTATTTGGCAGAGGTCTTTAGTTCCATGCTATAATTTTAGGCATTTGCAGAAAGAAAGAGTAAAAACCATCTCTTCTATACATTCTTCAGATCAGCACACTTACAAACGGGTAAAAAAAAGAAACCAGAGCAAATGCCATGTGTTTTATAAACCTCAAAAGCTTTTTTTTCTACATGCTTTCTGCACACCAAGGCACTCACTAAATCTGGCCCATCAGGAAGAATTCACTTGAGGAACTGTCTCGTTGATTTCTATCAGAAGCCAAGGAAAACAATTTTCTAGAGAAGATGCATGAAAAACCCACACTGGTGTTTCTTACCAATATTTCACTGAGGACAGAGCTGCAGAAAGAGAAACAATGGGAGTCATCCCCTTATACTTACCACCCAGCCAAGAGAGTGGCAGTCTCTCAGCATAATCAGATCATCAGACTGCTCTGCATTGTGGACAGCCCTTGTTTCCTTTATGTGCTTGTTCATTACTTATCTGTGCTGAAAATCAAAGCTTAATGGCTGACACCCATTTTTAATGAATCAGTGTGACAGACAGAAGGGACATGATCATTACTGCCATCCCAATATATGCAAATACTGCTTTTGTTCAACTGCTCTTTCCACATCACTTGATCAAATTGGACATGGTTCTTGTGGATCATACACCCAACCAATTTATAAATATCACCAGTTTCAGACCAAGAGGTTTTCTTAGTATTGTACATAGCCCTTTACTCCCCTTCACTAATAATAATTATCTGCTTTCTTCAAATAAATAATAAATAGAGTGAACTGTGTCTAGTGAGACGCAGTTTTAGAGATGGTAGAACTTGTTTCTGCCTTTGTTCTACTTTTATAAATTATTATGCTGCAGCTACAAGGAGAACATAAGCCATTATGACCTGCAGCATTTCTCCAGGGATACAGTACAAAAGTGGTCTATCAGAAATGCAATCAATTCCAGAGATGACTGCTTGCTTCCTGCACGCTTCCAAGCTGCTGCTTTATAAAACAGCTCCCCATAAAAGGAGCAGGAAATGCATGACATCGTTTAGCAACCAGTCATTAGAACTTAATGGAAGAGGATTAAAATAAAAAAATGCCATGCTTACAGACCTTTCCATACATTACCACAGCCTTTGAGAGGAGGAATTGGTGGCATATTAGGGTTAAGGTTAAGGTAGAGCTTTAACCCTTTCCTCTACCTTCAGAGATGGAAATATCCCAAAATCAAATAAAAATCTTATTAGAAGGATAAGACAAACAAAAATCAAAACTCTGAATGAAAGTGGAGTCAAAGGTTAGATTTCTCCATTTTTACCTAAAAACCCCTGGGGAAAATGGAAATGTGCTTCTTAATCTTGATTTCTGTGACCTGTCTTTCCTCAGGTGCTGTACTATGACATTTCTTGTGTTTTAGCAGTTGTCTCATTTCTAGTTGCCTACATGAAAGTGCATGTTCACTCCCTCTTGCCTATGCTTAAGGTACAGTGAGAGCAAACCAAATGACCTCTGAAATTATATTCCTACTGATTTATTGTGAAGATATGTTTTATACTAAAAGCACCTGGTGCACCGTACCATGTGCATCGATAATAATTCTGGCATAGCTTTTTTCTAGAGCAAAGCAAGTATTTACAACTACAGCAAAATGCTGCTGCTGAAGACATTCTTATCACAATCAAAAGATCACTTGAAAAGTAGGAATATCTCCATCTCTTGAGGTTCAGTTGTCTCTAAATCACTCCCAGAAGGTTCTACAAATCTTTCTCCCCTCTGCAAGTTTTAAAACTGATGACTGCATGGTGCTGATAACCAATATCTGTATAAATGCTTTTCCCACTATATGTTAAATTATGTCGCTAAAAATAAACTACAGATCATCTATCTTTAAAAAGCATATTACATATCTCTTAAATGACAAGTCTTTTTGCTGTACTAAGCCAGAAGCCAGAGTAGAGGTAATGTTCTTTTTTTGGCAACTTTTCTGTCTCACACCACACAAGCACTCGGGAGTCAGAGCACTGCCCGGCATGCAGATGACCTGCTGCATGACAGAGCTTGGTGCTCACACCTTGCCATCCCATAGCCTGAGGTCGTTGCCAGCAAAGTGCAGTTACAGGAATTCAAAGTACTCAACTGGTAGGAAACAACATCTTATAGTACTGTGAGAAGTGTTGACTCACAAGGTTTGTCTGACTCACATTAAATATTTACTGTTATTCACTACTTTAATCATTCAGCTGTAATAAAAAGTATTCTCTGGAGCCATGCCACCCCAGGCTGTGATCCAGCCATGCTCCACACCCAAGGTTATGTCAGCAAGCCAGCAAATGCTGTCTCCTGCCATCTCCAAAGCAGTGTGGCAAGGACAGCTGGCTAACACTGGGAACAGCTGCCACTCCATGACCAGATCCTCATCCAGAAGGAGCAGTTGGGAAAAGGTGAGGCTGAAAGCATCGCACGCTGACGGAAACTAAAAAAGCATTCTGGCCATTTCTGACTATTGGATCAAGGAAGATGCCTTCTCCCAAAGCACCAAACTTTAATTTATCACTCTTAAACCGATTGAACTTCATTTGACTCAGAGTTTGACAATCCTCTTGTGGTTTTGGCAAAAGACTATACCACTTGTCTAAGGACAATGTTTCAAATCTCCTAATATTGCAATCAGACATTTCATTCCTCATGTCATCAATGTCAAATATAGTGTTCCTGTTTATTGCTAAAAATTGTCATGTTCAACCCAAAACAAGATTTATTTCATTACTATACAAAAGCATTCATATATATAAGAAAAAAAGCCCTGTTCTTCATTCCAAAAAATGACATAAACATCAAGACTAGGAATTTTGAGATGTCCCTCAGCTATCTCTTTTCCTTTTTCCCAACTGCACATTTAACACACACAGCTTTTTTTTACAGCTGTGAAATTATGCAGTGTTGCAACAATAAAGCTTAAATCAAAATGAACATAAAATATCAATAGGAAATTGTGGCTGCTTCAAATTAATACCCTTTGTTATTGCAGTCATTTGGAGTTCAGGTAGTCTGTGATGCTGAAAATCACCTAAATGACTAATTTAAAACTTAGAAAAACACACCTTAATTTAACATGCACAGGTTTTTAAGCGTTTCTAGTGTGGAAATCACCAGTACCAGCCACAAAGTTAAAATTCAGATCTAACTATCTGAAAGATCATTTTCACAGCACTTCTTATATCTATTTTTTAAAAGTATATAGAAACAAAATATAATACAAGAGAGAACACAACACTACCTCAGAGCAAGGGCTTCCTTTGAACTATGTTGTGCTTTCAGCCATGGTCATGAGGGGCCATGTAGGGAAGAGAAAGAAAAGGGAACATATGGGATCTACCCAGTTTCAGCCACAGAAATTTTCTAATTCTGGCGGCCCAGAACCCTGGTAACTGGTAACCCAGTGAGTAAATGTCAACATATCTCCCAAGCATTTGTCCAGTCTGCTTTCACACCCACCTGAACTTGACCTATATGAAACATCCTTTAACAAGGAGCTCCACAAGTTCACTGCATGCCACACAAAGGACCATATAGTTTCCTTTGTTTTAAACCTGATTCAAATTAATGCAATTAACCTAATCCTATGGGATCTGTATCTGAAAAATATAATGACCAGTTAGTTGATCTCTAGCATTCCTCACCATGCAACTCAGAATTGTGTGGACCTCTCCCATACTTCCAAATCATTTATGTTTCAGGTGGAAGCATTCACCTCAGCTATTCACATTGTACAGTAGATAATAGCAGTGCATTTGTAAAACAAAATTATTGATGTAGAGTCTCCAGGACCCTCAGCAGGCTTTTTTCTTCCAGTTAGTATAAAAATTATCCTGCAGTTTGTGTAGTCATTAGCAGTTGGATTGCACTGGGCCTGTTCCAGAATTGCACTAGGCATGTTCCAGGCTGGTTTTGTTTCCAAATGGAATTCAGTTCAAGTGCGCCAAGACTGTCCTCTGCTTGAGCCAAAGTGC